ATATAAATTCTTGTGGTATTATTTCCCCAAACATTCTTTCCCATTTTGTGGAAAGCTTTAAATAATTTTTTTAGGATTTAAAATGACGCTGTGATTAATTTTTTGGTGGTTAGTCAACAAAGCAAGAACTCAACTGGTCCAAATCACATTTTCAAAGAAAAGGTCAGCTGATGCCTAGATGTACAAAAGAGTCCAATTATCCTGTGTCAAAGGAAAAATGATCAGGTGCTGTCATGAAAACTACAATGGAAGCAGGTTGACACTTACATTTTTTGAGAATTTGGTTCCTTTTCTGCAAACTAAAAGTTTACCTTCATTTCTTTCAGTATTTCTTTACAGGTTAATGTCCGTTTAGTGCTATAGAATTTCACAATAGTTCCCTTGATAACAGTATTTACTTCTTGAAAGACCTGAACTCTCCTCCAAAGTAACTGTTTCCTTATATTTAGTCTCTTTCTTTCAAGATCCGGAACAAGCCACTTCACTATCCTATTTTGCTATCACAGGGTTTGTACTGCAGCTTATCTATTTAACTACTTACAGAGATTTCAGCTGACCTGTTCTATTTGATCATGGCATTCTGAGCAGATTTATAATGCAAATTGTGTCTCAGAAAGTATATAGATGTACAAAATGTTTCGTCAGCAGACAGTTTCTAGTACATTTGATAAGACTGCATAATTTTGCCTATTGACGTAAAGCTTAGTTTGAGAGATTAAAAAGAACTTCCAAATGTTTAATAAATCCAGCTGGCCTATAAATCTTTTTGTTTATCCAAGACATATTTTCAAAGTCACAATAGGGGAAGTAAGGACCCCAGGTCCCACTGAAAATCGAATACCATTCCCTTTATTAAGAAAGCTGACATATTCCCTCCATAAATCATAATGTTGCTCTTCTGTGGAGGGAGGGATTATTAAAAATAAAGTGCAGTGAAGAGCATTTAATAGCATAGTTACAATTGTGATGACTTAAAGATATAAAGTATAAGATGACAGGTTTGTATGGGGACATAGTATTTTCCACTAACTCATCTGATATGTTTAGGAGTTAAAAATAGACAAGCTTTCAAGCACACAAGTTCTTCAGATCTTGAACAGAAGAGACAAAACATGGAAGTGCAAAGCACCTAGAACACTTTTTACTGCTAAATCTGTGTTTGTGCAAGCATGGCATGACAACACTATTCAAAGCAGATGTTCAGATGTTCTTATACAACCTAGCAGAAGCCTAAAGATCTGGATGTCAGCAGGAAACTTTCCACCAACTTCAGTGGTTGGGTTGAGATCACCTTTGGTAATTGTCCCTGAGTTTGGACGTGACTTCTTGAAGCCACAACTGGCCAGTCTCCCAGTGACAGCTTTTGGATTTCCCAAGATATAAAACCAGGTGAAGGTCATGGGTCTCTGCCCAATAGTGTCTTCTGGTAGCCCAAACTGAACTAAAGGTCAGTCCAGTTTGAGAATCCAAGTAAAAACCAACAGGAATTAGAGACAACAATCAGTCAGAAACAGTTGTGCTCCTTCAGGATCTTCTCAGCCTGCTGCGATGGCAGGTTTGTATTGGGATGCTGGAAGAGGGAACCGAAGCAGCAGTGACAGCATACAGGTAGATTGGTATAACACCGTATCTACTGGATTACTTCAGGAAGTGTGGTCTTGGGTCAGTTTAAGCCAGGACCATCTTACTGCCTAGAAGAGCCTCATACAGCCTCTAAACTGCTTTATTTTTTTTTAATGAGATCCTGTTAGCACCTACCAAGCATGAGCTCAAATGAGCACATTTAATTTATCTGCTGTCATTTACCCTGCTCCTACCTTTGTCAGTAGACTAAGCAGATTTTTATGAGGGTAGATTTTTTGTATCTGTGCCCATGCTCCATATACATGATCTGGGGTGACATATGGCTATTTAAGCAAACTGAATCTCAGTTACATACATAAAAACTTAAAAGTTACTTCCCTGGCTTCAGTGGAGTTGAATACCAAATTGTTTCAGCTTCAGAGTACAACTTCAGTGCTAAAAAAAACAACAAAAAATATGGATATTTTGCTCCAAATTTCTTTTTTAATTCTTTTTTAAATCCCAATTGGCATTTCCTTATTAGAAATGCCAAGTAATAGCTCAGACATTTTGCTTGTCTCATTCTTTTTGTTATGAAACTTTTGCATTGACTTACTTTGAGCAAAGATAAGTCTTCAAAAGCTTCAGCTCTTTTAACCTGAAGCCCGAAATCATTAGCTGAAAGTTTATTTCAACTTCAAGTTCACACAACTTTAAGACATACTTGGTCAGTCTGACCTCATAATTACCCTCGTAAGGGAATTAAATATTGTGGGTCTTATATACCCCTTTTTGACAGTTAGTTCCTGAATCCCAAATGTTCATGTGATTTTTGAGTTTGTATTTATTGTATTTTAATCCCAGATGAAACCAGTTAGATCATACATTCCTGCTTTCTCCTTAATGCCAGTCATACAAAAGGTTACACTTGTCTACTCATTTTATAGATACCATTATGAAATTTTCAAATGTGAAGAATTGACCACAAATATTTAAGAAGCTGCTTCAGTGGCTATTCAGGTTTCATACTAGAAATGTGCCATTTACTTCCTGTTTGAACTTTACTAACCTCAACATCTATTCATTTAGTCATCTTGTGGTTTTCTAAGCTTTTTTGAAGAGGCCTCTTTATCAGATTAATTGTATATTTAGGAGGACTTGAGGGGGCATCAGATTTCTATTTCCTTTTGTTATATATGTTACACTTTTGTTGTTCAGGTGATTACTGCCTCTGCATTTCACTCTTATCAGAGCTGACACAGTTTAGTTCCAACATTATCGCCTTTGTCTTCCAGGTGCAGGTACAATGTGTTTATTCACAGAATCATAGAATGGTTTGAGTTGGAAGAGACCTTAAAAATTGTCTAGATCCAACCTCATGTGCCATAGGCACCTTCCACTAGACCACGTTGCTCCAAGCTTCCTCCAACCTGGCCTTGAACACTGCCAGGCATGGAGCAGCCACAGCTTCTCTGGGCACCCTGTGTCAGTGCCCCAACACCCTCACAGGGAAGAATTTTTTTCCTAATATTTAATCTAAATCTCCCATCTTTCAGTTTAAAGCCATCACTCCTTGTCCTATAACTACATGCCCATGTAAAAAGTTCCTCCCCACCTTTCCTGTAGGCCCCTTTAGGTAATGGAAGGCTCCTATAAGGTCTCCCCAGAGCCTTCTCCCGTCTGAAGAACTCCAACTCTCCCAGCCTGTCTTCATAGGAGAGGGGCTCCAGTTCTCTGATCATCTGGTTAATTAGTCTTCAAATGTAAAAACAAACAAACAAACAAAAAAAAAACCAACCTTCAGACTAAATTGCTTACAAAACACATTAATTAGATCATAATCTCTGGAGGAATTTTCATGCCTATCACAGCTAAGCATATTCACCCTTCATACTCCAGTCCATGTACCTACACAGAGAACAGAGGAGCCAGTGCTGGTTGCACTAAAAAGATATCTGGAATCAGAGTATCCCTTATCATCCCCCAAAGCCTCAGGCTGTTGTATTTCAACTTGTGCACCATTAAAATATCAAGTATTTTATTATTTTAAATGTTACACAGAGAAAGAGAAGTGCTCTGGAGTGCATTTGCCTTCACTACTCCCAATTTTGTGTTATAAATATAAACCTGGCAGTAAGAAGCAGAACATGTACCAGACTGTGACTCTCCCAAGACCTAGGGATACTGCATTTCTGGGTCCAGATGGGGCGCAGGAGGGAGGCATAAACCAAATGCTCAGACTGTGAATGCCCACAGGCAAAACATCAGGTTCCTCTAGAAGTCAGCAGGGTGAGGATCAAGGAGTTTAGGCATCTCCAAAACTAAGTACTAGCCATGGAATCCAGTCAGCCTGTGGTTTTCAGCGCCGCTGCGTGCTGCAAGTTCTGCTGTAGATATCTACCACTTTACCGTATCTTTTACACTGTCACAATGGGGAAAAACACTCATCCCCTGAAAGCCAGTAACACTGCCACACAGCATAAAAGGAATTCATTATTCTGGATGAAAAGTGAATTAATTGGCTGTGGATGAATTCATATTCTGGCTCACCTGAAATGAACACAGCTAATCCAGTGGTTAGGGTTATGCTACTGTTGTTAGGATTATATAAGCACAGGCTTTTTGCAGTGTGGCACAAGAAAAGCAAGCGCAGCAGCAAAGAGACCAGTGGGACAGTCCTTGCTTTGAAGACCTTGTGATCCAGGCAGTAAGATGTGCTCCCAGAAGAGGCACGCTGTGTATATGGCTGTTCTCTTTACATTCCTGTAACCCTCACCTAAGTGTACCACAGGCAATATCCAGAGGAAGACCCGGGGACTGGTAGCAGTAGAGAGAGCAGGTGGAAGAAGGGGCTTAACAAGAGACAACATATTCTCCAGCGCAGGGCAGTGGCTTTTCTCAGGATCACATACCACCACAGACCAGGACTACACTGAAATGCCTTCTACCCTCCAGTAGGCAGGTTCAGCTGAAGAAAGAGGCATGAAAGTGGCCGTGGCTTTATTTTTATTGTCACTTCTCAAATTTTGCATCCAAAGGAAGGTAACATAAGTCACAGGGCCATCAGTGAAGGAGATCTGAAGATGTGCTCCTCACAGCAGGCACGTAAGATGGATGGGGATGCAGCAAGCGCATGCCCCACTCCCCTTCTGCTTTCCTCTGTGGAAAGGGGCAGTGAGCTAGCCATATCCTGCTCTGATTATCTCTGGCTACTGATAGATCAAGCTCTCCTGTACCTCCAGAGAAAGTCCGGAAACCCAAACAGTGGAAATACTACTCTAAGTTCGCTCAGTGCTTCCCATATTATCGAGGTTTCTCTGCTCTCATGACTACAGCCAAACGCCCCAAAGATTTTCCCCGCTGCTTCCCACCCAGGCCAGCACCCTGCCGGTGCGGGCTTGCACGGGAGAACCGGGGGGGGGGGGGGGGGGAGCGGGCTTTACCCTGGCCAGCAGCTACCCTACATCTGTGCTTAAACACGGCTCTACAGCCCCGCCAGGAGCAGCCGGGTCCCCGCTGCCCGCGGTCCCCTCAGGGCGGCGCGGCCCCTCAGGTAACGGCTGCACCTCACGCGGGTGGACAAGGCCGCCCCCTAGCGCGCCAGGCCGGCACCGCACAGCGAGCACCCTCGCCGCACGCCCGGGAGGTGAGCCCGCCGCCGCTTCCCACAGCACCGGCAGCTTCCACCCGCCGGGGCGGGCTCCGCCAGGGCCGCTTCCCCTCACAGCTGGCGCCGCGGAGAGAACAAGCACCTGCCCGGCCACCAAGAGGGGTAAGGAGCTGCGCTGAGTGGCGGGGAGCACCGCGCCGCCGCTCCTCCCTGAGACCGCCGTGGGACAGAGCCGCAGCGGGGAGGAGAAGGCGTCCGGGCTGGGTGCCGGGGCGGCAGAAGGGGCGGCGGTAGCGGTGGGGCGGTGGCAGCAGCCGGGGCGTTTTTCCGCCCGCCGGGGTGCTCCACGGAGGCGGGCGGGTGCGGCGGCTTCACCTGTCGGCACTGAGCATGCGCGCGGCGGTGGGGCACACCGCCGATTGGGAGCGCGATGCGAGTCTAGGACGGAGCCGCTGGGCAGCAGCGACTTGGCGCCGTCGCGCCGCCGGAGAGGGGCCGCCGGGGGCCGCTCTCCATGGGATTAGATGCCGCTGCTGCTGCTGCCGCCGCCGCCTCGGACCCTGCTCCCTGCGAGGATCCAGCTCCCGCCCCCGACTCCCGTTGGCTGGGGGATTCTTTCCCGGAGCTGCAGGCTGCCTTGAGCCGGGCATGACCGGGCGGGTGACGGGGGCAAGCCGTACCTCGCTGCCCCCTCGTCGGGGACCGGGCGGAGGTAGCGCTGCCGGGCTCCCTGCCGCGCCGGGGCGGCGCTGCCCGGCCCTGCCCTGAGCGTCCGGCGGGGCAGAAGCGGGCGGCTCTGCCGCTGGAGCCGCTCTGCGAGGCGGCTGTTGGACCGTTGGCGGGGGACGATGAGGGCAGCGGGGCGGCGGCGGCGGGGCGGCGGGGCGGGGCGGGGGCTCCGCCGGGCTCTCTAGGACTCCGGCGCCCCGCACACCCACCATGGATCTGCTGCTGGTGGTGAACACGAGCCTGGGCTCCCCCAACGAGTCCCTGGCGCTGCCGCCTTCCTCGCCGTCCTCTTCCGATCTCCTGCAGCCGCCTTCCCCGTACTCCCCGGCGGCCGTGGCCAGCCTGGCGGCGGTGGTGGGCTTCCTCATTGTCTTCACCATCGTGGGCAACGTGCTGGTGGTGATAGCTGTGCTCACCAGCCGGGCACTGAGAGCACCCCAGAACCTCTTCTTGGTGTCCCTGGCCAGCGCGGACATCCTGGTGGCTACCCTGGTCATGCCTTTCTCCTTAGCCAACGAGCTTATGAATTATTGGTACTTCGGCAAGACTTGGTGTAACATTTACCTGGCGCTGGATGTGCTCTTCTGCACCTCCTCCATCGTCCACCTGTGTGCCATCAGCCTCGACAGGTATTGGTCGGTCACACAGGCGGTGGAGTACAACCTCAAAAGGACCCCCCGGCGGATCAAGGCCATCATCCTCACTGTCTGGCTCATTTCGGCTGTCATCTCCTTCCCTCCATTGATCTCCATGTACCGGGACCCCGAGGGAGACAGTTTTCCCCAGTGCAAGCTGAACGATGAGACATGGTACATCCTTTCTTCTTGCATTGGCTCTTTCTTTGCCCCCTGCCTCATCATGGTGTTGGTCTACATCCGCATCTACCGCGTGGCCAAGCTACGGACCAGGACCCTCTCTGAGAAGCGTACAATGCCAGAGGGGTCCTCCCAGACTGAGAATGGCTTGAGCCGCGTTGCTGGTGGTTGCACATCCGTGAGGATGAAGCTGGGAGAGAATGGACATTATTCAGTGCCCCACTGGCGCAAAGCCTCTGAACTGGAGGACATTGAGCTGGAGGAGAGCAGCACCTCGGAGAGTAGACGGAGGCGGAGCCGGGAGGAGCATCCCCGCAAAAGCAGCAAGAGCCAGTCCTTCTCCTACTCATACTCCTCCAAGCACTCTAGTAGCCGTCTGTCCCGCGCTAGCAATCGCTCCATGCAGTTATTCTCATATCGCCGTCGCCGGAAGCGTAGCAGCATCTGCCGTAAGAAAGTCACCCAAGCCCGGGAGAAACGCTTCACTTTTGTGTTGGCCGTGGTCATGGGGGTCTTTGTAGTTTGCTGGTTCCCTTTTTTCTTCAGCTACAGCCTCTATGGTATTTGCCGGGAGGCGTGTGAGGTCCCTGAGACTCTCTTCAAGTTCTTCTTCTGGATTGGGTATTGCAATAGCTCCCTGAACCCAGTCATCTACACCATCTTCAACCAGGACTTTCGCAGATCCTTTAAACACATCCTTTTTAAGAAGAAGAAGAAGAACTTCTGGCATTGAGCTGGAGGGATGGATTTGCCTTGAGCAGGAGTATAGTTAAAAGAGGAGAAGGCTCTGTGCTGACAAAGAAGGGAGGGAAGAGAACATGGGATTTGGGCTCGCCCCCTTGGTGGAGCAGAGTGGTGCTGTGGGGTATAGAGATAGAGCCAGGGAGGCTGAGGGCATTCACAATGGTACAGAATGGTGCTGGCGTGTGAATGGGTAAAAGGGAAGGGGAGTGGTTGTCTTTGAACCTTGATGGAGGTCATGGGGAGTCCACAGAGGAAAATAGGCTGACACTGATTTTGGGAGGCAGTGAGCTTTTACAGGATCTGGAATTTTGTGGGAAAACAAGCAGAGACATCAGGAGGAAAGGATTAAGTGGCAGTGGTGATGAAGATTTGAGTATTTATAAATAGAGCAGCTGGGTCCTGTCTCGTCCCAGTAAGAAATTAGCTTTTACTGCTTATGTGGGCAAAGAAAGTGCAAAGTACCAGGCACTGGCAGTTTTTTGAGTTACAAAAGGATTTAAATGTTTGCCAAAAAAAAAAAAAAGTCCTAAAGAACAATCCAAACTCTTTTCTAAATAAACCTTTGTACTGTTAAAACCTTCTGAATGATGATTTTACACAGGGCTTAAGTCAAACAGAAAGCATGGGGGTTTCTTTTCTTTGGAGGGGTCTTTGCATGTAGAGCTGGATGGGAAACTTTCTATCTTCCCATAGTTTTTGATTGGTCAGTGGGACAAACCTGTGAGTTTTGCATGTCTTCATGAAATATGAAAAGGAGCACATGCACCCTATGACCTTACTTCTCCCGCTTGGATTGCCAGGCAGTAAGATCCATCTCAGATCAGTGTCCTAAGCACCTTGGTGTCCTGAAGCAGGTAGTGGGGGAAAACAAAAATCATTGTTGTGAACTCACCTAGTATTTTCTGAGTTAAAATAAAAAAATTCAGATTTCCAACCAGCTCAACTTGCATGTGTCTTGGGGAACTTCCCCCCCTGCCCTCTCTTTTTAGGTTCCCCTCAAAAGGCTTATCTCAGGGGCTGGGTGGGTGCTGCTCTCATCCTCAGACAGGCAGTTGGAGGCAGTCTGCTATGTAGATTTGAAGAGGAGGAGCAATCACCACACCACTAAGGTTTTTAAATCCTTCTTATTTACAGTCTAGAACAACTAAATCCTTTGTATTTATTTTTTTAATGAGAAGCATACATTGCAGATTGTCAGTGGTGTATGAGATTTCAAAAGAAGGTGCAGCTGTTCCAAACCTTTAATATTAATGTTGCTTTCTTTCCCTTTTGCTGTTTGGATTTCTAGTTTATGATTTCAGAGGATTTTGTTGGGAGGAAGGGAGGGAAGAGGGGAGAAGATAGAGTTATTGAATAGTTATTAAAGCAAACTGTATTTCCCATGAGTTTGTAAAATGTTATGAACTGTAAAGAAGAGGAGGAGAGACAAGGTCTGGTGACTGTACATTCACCGTGGAATGCATACCAAGTGTAAGACTCAGCTGAGCATTTACACCCCTTTCCAGCTGTGCTGCTGCAAGGTGTGTATTCTGTTTGTGGGTAAATACTGCTCCATTTTAGGTGTATCTCTCCTTCCATAGGCAGCAGGATTTGGCATCTGCCTGAAATGAACCTTTCCGTAGTAAACAGCTCTTTGAAAGATAGAGCAAATTCTAATCTCATATGGCAGGCTTCTTGAAACAGCTGAATTGAATCTACACCTGAGAATCTTTAGATATCCCCTTCTTTACTCCCTCTGTTCTGTCTGACACGTGTCTGTAGTCTCTCTTATCTTGAAATATCTATGACATAAGGAGAAATGATAGAGCAGTCACTTTGTTTCATCAGTTTTTCATAGTAAGCATTAAGTTCACTTAACCCTAGAAAAGAAGGTTGTCAGTAGCTAAGAGTCTGCTGTTAATTCAACAGACAATTTAACCTCAGGGCCAGCTCAAGTGGGAGTTCTGCAGGCATGAGGATTAGAAGATTGCACCAAATTTTGCTTGATTTCACTAAAGAAACAAATGAGACATTTTCCAAGTCTTGAATCCGTAACTTATTGGATCCTTACTTGATATAAGGCTTGGAGTTGCGAAAAGATTTGAGCTTTGTTTGCACATCTGCACCTAAACAAAGGATGTTAAGACTTATTTTCAGGAGCATCCCTTTGTAAATAGCAAATGGTTTGGTACAAATATGTACCTGAGACAGATAAATAAGAGGAAAAAAAAAATAGCAAGGAGGAGGAAATTAAAAGCCATTTCTCTCTTACAAAATGGAGAATTCTTTTTTAAGTTACATCAGGAAGAGCTGAAGCAAGCTCGTATTATTTGTAGGTAACAATGTAGCTAAAAAGTTCAGGTTTGTTTAATCTGAAGAAACTATGTAATTGCCAGAGCAACCAAAGCAACACACGGTATATAGCTACTACCTCTGAGCTACTGGACAGCTTCATTAGAGATACTTATTCCCACCAAGATGAAGGTCTGCTTTTGTCACTTAATGCTCATTTAGAGTGGTTTCTCAGTGCGTAGACAATGAGATTTGTTGCCTGTGTAAATAATCCTTCCCTTTTGTTTTACCTTGTAGAATTCAAAGAGTCTATGGAAATGAAATTTAATTAACAGATTTTAGTCGACATGAACTACATATGGAATGACTGATGTGCCTTAAAAGTAATTTCTTCTCTATAAAATTATTCTGTGGTCATTATAAACGTAAAGGAAATAATGTTTCTATTTTGCATTTCCAAATGTCTAAAAGAGATTGATGCAGACACTGTATATCCAGCTGCAGCAGCATTCGTAAAAACAGGGCATTTTCTGTGGTTTTATTTTGTTTATCATCACAGTTACTCACCCGATTAAATTCCTTCTGAGCTAGACTAAAAAGTAACATTATCAATAAAGACGTGCAGTTTACACGCCTTTAAAATGCATTTCCCTCTATAAATCAGTGAATATAGAGGATTTCTGCAAAAATTGTTTTTAATGTAATAACTGAATATGCAGCAAGGAAGTAAAATGGGGCTGATTTATTTTTTTAATTATAGTGTTCTGTTCCTTGCAGTAGCTGAAGACTGGAATTTGTTTGTAACATATTGGGTGGTGGTAACTTTTTATGAAAAGTTATCAGCTTTGCTACTCAAGCTGTGGCTTTGCTTTCACTATAAGTTGGCTAATAACTTATACAGGAAAAAGGTCAATGCAGCTTTTGCTTAAGAAAAAAAAGGAGAAGATATTTTATGTTTCAAATGTGTCCACTTGTGTCTTTGATCACATCTGATGAGCTGGTTGAAACATTCACTTTTTACTGTTGTGTAAGAAGGAAATGTTGCTATGAAGTCATACTGTTTTTAACAGCAAGCACATGATCTTTAACTCTTCATTTGCTTATTTCACCCTGAAGCAAATTTTCTGTCAGTCTAAAGTGAGAAGTTAGTTTCATTTTCAAAACCAGTTTTCTGAATAGTAACTCTATTGGTTGGTTATTTAAATATTGAACACTGTAACTTATCTAGGATGGGAAATCAGTGCTGCTGCCCTTAGCTCTTTTCTGTGTGAGTTTTGCATGAGTGAGACTGCAGAATTAGCCTCTTCAAGGCTTGGTGCAGATGGAAGAGGCCTTATATGTAGGAGATTCGACTGGATCACAGCTTTAAATCATTGCCTAAAATAGAAATCAGTCCCTTGTTCTATGTGCTCTCTGTTCAGAAAAGTCACTTTCCAGGAGCACTGGCAGTTTTTGAGAAGTAGACCTGAAAGTTACATGCAAGCAGCTTTGCCAACATTGAGCTGTATCACACTTTGCGAGTAAGCACAGAAAACTTCGGTGGAGTTTACTTGTGAATGAGGAAACTACTCGGTGTGAGCAAGGATGTTAGGGGCTTCCTTAGACATTGCCTCTTTTTCAGTAAATGTGCCTGAGGAATGTAAGCAAACATTTGTGCACAAATATACAGGAGCAAAAAGAAAGCAGTCTTCTCTGCTTAACTTTGACTGCTGTTCAAATCCGTAGAAGGTGTGGGTCAAGAGGTTTTTGACAATATAACCAGAGCAACAAACCCTACTGTATATTTTCAGTATAAGGTGTGTGAAGAGCACTTTCTGATTGCAGTTGTTTTTCAGAGAAGAAAACTGTTGGTCTCCTTCTTGTTCTGTGGAAGTTGGTATTGGTTAGAACTGCATCTGAGAAGCATAAGGATTTCATAGGAAATGTCAGTAACATGCATTTCAGGTGAATGTTCTAACCTTAAACTATGACTCCAGTCAAGAAGCAGAGAGAATACCTCCAAGCTGTGCAAAAATGAAGGCCAGATGCTATTTGGGAGTTTGTTTTGATGGTTGTGACCTTATTGGTAGTGGAAGGCAACTAGATGCTTCAGAAAAAACGCTCTGAGTTGGAGGAGGAGTGGTGCGTGAGGAAGTGACTACCCATGATACCAGAGGAATTGATATTTATTTACCTTCTTTGCACTCTAGACAAGTACAGTGAAGGAATTTGCCTTCTTTCATTGCACAATAGCAAATGTTAATTTGCCTTTCACATCTGTGGGTCAACTAGGTCATACAGAAAATGGCACGGGAGAAAGTAGGGATTAGGGATTGCTCACTTCAGTGTTAAACACCAAGATTAGTTTGTCCTTTGTCCTTGAAATTAAGCCCAAAATACGGTTTTGGCACTTGGACCCAAATGGCCATGTAGCATCAATAGTGCTACGCTGAATGTTGTCTAGTTTTTGCAAAAAGCATCACTTCATATTATACACCCTGCACATCTCTGTTTCAGACCAGAAAAAGGAGTCTGACAATTAAGGCATGTTGGAAAGGAATAGTCAGCATTTTCTAGGGTGTACTGTGAAGTTTCCCTGGATCCCACTCCGATAACTGAGCTGGCTTTAATTTTGTGGCTTCCTAATCGCTTTGAACTTCTTAGAGAGCTATGTGACATGGAAATAGTAGAAATACTGCTTCTCAAGCAAGCAAAAATTGGCAAATTGCTCAAAGAGTCAGTGTTCAGATGGTTATTCCAGATGCCCAGTCCTCCAGCAGGTGGCTGACTCGATTACTGGTTTTGAGCTGAAAGGCTGGGGTATTCTCAATTCTCAATGACTATCATGCTTGGTCTGAATTTAAGTGATACCTACAGTTGGTACATTGCCTTTCTTTGAAGTGGCAGCCCTTAGAGTACGACAGAAGACATTTTAAGTAGTTTATATCTTCTGGCACGTGTCCTTTACTACAGCATACCAAACATTTTTTAATTCAACTGCACAACAGTTGATAAGGTAGAGAAAGATTGCCAGTATCTTACAGGAAAAAAGAGAGGCACAGAAAATACTAGGAATTGAAATCCAGTGTCTTAGTCCTAGTCTAACATCTTACCACAATACCAGTCTTCCTCTTCCCACCCTCTCCTTTTTCTTTTGGAAAACAGAAATTGCAGAAGCTTATTTTTAATAGATTTACACTAAAAAAGGAGCTTTTATGTCAATAGCCTTCTGCTGTAAAGCAATTTTCTTCTCTGAGAAATCTAATGAAAAGCAAAATAGCATTTAATTCGGTTTGTCTATATGTAATTCTCATAACAAAAATGCTTTATTAACAGTCCTGAATGTAAAGTACACAAATATAGCTGCCTGCTTCATCAAAATCAATTAGTTGTGTTTCAGCATTTTTGTGAACAGCAGTCATTCATTTTATGTGATACTCTTTGCTGATAGCTTTCTGCTGACAGAGAAAGCTGTACATCCTGTTGACAGCAGGAAAAAAATGAGGATTCCTATGTCCCTCTATTAACTCTGTTAAGTCTTCTCTGATGAATTAAAAAGCAGGCCACTTGGAGTAGGTTTTTTGGTGTGATGTCTAGTTCAGAGGTGTACAGCACACTCAATAGGCTAACCCTAGGCTGCAGGGGCATGCTTCTCATTTGCCTTCTCTGTGCCTTTGACCCAACATTTCACATTATTTCCTCTGTAGTGGAACACTGAGCACAGCATCTCTTTCAGCCCGGTCTGCTGGAGTAAGAAATTAATACTGAGGTCTCCCACTTCCTCACTGAGTGCTTTCACCAACAGACTATAAAGGTGACGCATCTAAAATACCTTTCCTTCAGGCACATAAATGTTTTATTTGATCTAGCTTTCTATCTCTCAGTAGATTAACATTCTCATTCCACAAGGACATTCTCTATCTGGAAAGCAAACACATGTCAAATACTGGGAAGAATATGAGAAATCCTGAAAAAAAAAAAATAGCCACTCCAGCTAAATTTTAAAAGAAAAAGCC